GCAATAGGGGGCTTTTGGTTGGTTAGTTTGGACATACTTGCACATGTGCGCTCTAACAAGGAAGATTTGGACATATTATATCGCTCGCAAAATATAAGTGTTAGGGGTGCTAGTATATGGAACTTGAACATGGAATAACCCCCCCAAAATAAATAAATAAACATAGTCCAAATGTTTATTGATCAAATACACATTCCACATTTATTTGGACAGCAGAAACAAGTAGGTACATTCAATTTATTGGTGGGACAAAAAAAAAGCAGGATTGATTTTGCTAAAATAGAATGTTCCTGCTCATAAGAGCTTACAATCTAAAAGATTATACTTCTAATGAACTGTGCTTTCACAGGTTACAGCAGGAAAACAGATGGTTAATATGAAATCACGTAATAGGCTTATCTATCCAGAAAACAAGCTGCAGATCAAAATATCAATATAAAAATACATACGTGCCAAAATAAAAACACCTCCCCACCTCCCCAAATCCCCCACACATACATTTCTTACCATGTTTGTCTGAAAACTGCATTTCAGTCTAAATAAAGCAAGCTATAGCCAAGTGCAGATTTGGAAGAGCAGAGTAGTTGACATGTGTTAGGATTACAATGCAAAGATAATAAACACACAATCATTGTACAATAACACACAAACACACCTTAGAAGGAAAAAAATGCAAAACATTTACAACCCACATCAAAACACAGCGCGAGTGTGGCCTGGGGCAATTCACCGCAATATCTCTTCCTCCGCCAAACCACCACAGACAAGGACATGCAGAAAATAATGTGCCTGTACAAGTCAAAATTTTGCCACTACTGCATCTTTTTATATAACATAGGCCACACCCACCACTGTCATTCATTGGGTCAGAGAAAGTGTTTGCACCTGATGAATCCTCTTCCCACCTGCGGTAACCCTTGGTATACAGGCCCCACAAATCAGAGTCAGAAAGAAAGCCACAGTGAAGTGTACCTGTGCAGCATACAACAGAACATTGAACAGGGATGTGAAAGGGAACCCTATTGGCAATATTTCTTGGCCCTATGGGCACAATTCACTCCAGATTATCGCATGAGTTAAGGCAGTCACATGACCACATCTCGCATGCAACACTGAAAAAGACCTTACACCGCGGTCACATCAAAGCCAATTTAGAAACTGTGCGATGTACGGTGAAGATGCCGATTTCCTTGCGATTTGCAAGACATCTGACACAGATATCTATGCAAATTGTCACAAAAGTAGTACATGTACTACTATAGAAATCAGTGTCGGAAACGCACCCATGTGACTGCTCTAATAGTAGACAATAGGGTGCGACTTGGCATACGATTTGCAAGTTGATTTGTCATGCAAATCACATGCCAAGTCACACTCAATGTGACCGCTATTAGAGCGTTCATTTTGGTGTGGTTCAAACTTGGCTGGAGCCACAACAATTTCTAAAGTAATGAATACACTACTTTTCATGCGCCTATCAGTGCCGCCTAACAGTGCCAGTCAGTGCCGCCTAACAGTGCCATATATCAGTGCTGCTTTTCAGGACCCATCAGTGATGCCTGTCAATGCCCATCAGTGCCACCTACCAGTGCCTCCTCATCAGTGTCCATCAGTGCCACCTACCAGTGCCTCCTCATCAGTGCCCATCAGTGCCACCTATCGGTGTCCATCAGTGCAGCCTATCAGTGCCCATCAGTGCAGTCTATCAGTGCCCATCAGTGCAGTCTCATTAGTGCACATCAGTGAAGGAGAAAATTCACTTATTTACAAAATTCTATAACAAAAACAAAGAAAAAACTTTTTTTCCCCAAATTTTTCAGTGTTTTTTAGTTTAAGAAAAATAAAAAACCCGGAGGTGAATAAATACCACCAAAATAAAGCTGTCACAAAAAAAAATGATAAAAATGTCATATGGGTACAGTGTTGCATGACCGCGCAATTGTCAAAGTGTGACAGTGATGAAAGCTGGAAACTGGCCTGGACAGGAAGGGGGTATAAGTGCCCTGTAGGCTTGTGGTTAAAGGACTTGTCAAAGACCCTGCACTGTGTTTTTTTTACACTACACTTTTTTTTTATGAATTAGTATCGGGACCATGTACCGCATACTCATTCACGTAGGGGGATGACAGGATCTGGGGCCCCCTTGTTAAAGGGGGCTTCCAGATTCTGATAAGCCCCCCCCACCCGCAGACCCCCACAACTACCGGCCAGGGTTGTGGGGAAGAGGCCCTTGTCCCCATCAACATGGGGACAAGTGCTCTGGGGGGGAGCCCCCCTGCCCCAAAGCACCCCCCCATGTTGAGGGCATGTGACCTGGTATGGTTCAGGAGGGTGGGGCACTCGCTCATCCCCCCCTTTCCTGACCTGCCGGGCTGCATGCTCGGATAAGGGTCTGGTATGGATTTTGGGGGGGGACCCCACGACATTTTTTTTTACCCCTTAATATCCATACAGACCCGAAGGGCTTTGTATGGATGGGAGGGGGGACCCCATGCTGTTTTTTTTTTTTTGCAGATGTTTATTTTTAGATTCAGCTGTCAAAATAAATATTATCTAGACCTTCGAAATAAGTAAAATCATTACAGAAATAATTATAAAGGATAAGAAACAAAAATAGAATCACTAGAACTAAGGAAATCTAATTAGATTACATGAAGATATGCCTGGCTACAAATGGTGCTGGTTGTCACACACAGGAGACGTGACCAAGTGCCGGCTGTCAGAGGACTCCACACACAGGAGACGTGACCGAGTGCCGGCTGGCAGAGGACTCCACACACAGGAGACGTGACCGAGTGCCGGCTGTCAGAGGACTCCACACACAGGAGACGCCACCGAGTGCCGGCTGTCAGAGGACTCCACACACAGGAGACGTGACCGAGTGCCGGCTGTCAGAGGACTCCACACACAGGAGACGCCACCGAGTGCCGGCTGTCAGAGGACTCCACACACAGGAGACGCCACCGAGTGCCGGCTGTCAGAGGACTCCACACACAGGAGACGCGACCGAGTGCCGGCTGTCAGAGGACTCCACACACAGGAGACGTGACCGAGTGCCGGCTGTCAGAGGACTCCACACACTGGAGACGCGACCGAGTGCCGGCTGTCAGAGGACTCCACACACAGGAGACGCGACCGAGTGCCGGCTGTCAGAGGACTCCACACACAGGAGACGCGACCGAGTGCCGGCTGTCAGAGGACTCCACACACAGGAGACGTCACCGAGTGCCGGCTGTCAGAGGACTCCACACACAGGAGACGCGACCGAGTGCCGGCTGTCAGAGGACTCCACACTGAGATTTACTACTGAGCAGCGGCTAAAAAGCAAGCGCCCACAGAGGACGTCTAAAATGTGTTCTGCACATGCGCACTTATATCAGCCATAGACGTTGGAAAGGCGTCTAGTTCTTCACTGTCACAACTTTCTTTAAAACTATTTTTTATACATTTTAAAATTTTTTGGAAATGTCAGATATTGTTTAAAGTGAAGCCCTGATATTTGGGAAAGCAAATTTCAATGTGAACGTCTCTGCAGTGATTTTTTCATGGTGTTAGACGTGCTGCTTAGCAAGTCTGCTTTTTGAGTCTGATTCCTGGTTAGTAAATTTGATTTGGCGTCTACTCGTTGATGCTTCTCTTTAGTAAATGTCTTTGCAGTCTAAAAGTAGACGGTCGCTATTAAAAGGTAGATGTTAGCACACAGAAATGTGCCTAGGCACAATAGTAAATCAGGGTCTTGATGTCTCATTAAAGAGAACCCGTCACCACAAAATGCGATCATATGGGGGATATTGGTTCCTTATATGTTGGCATTATAGTGAAAAAATGAAAGGTGCACCCAAACACCTAAAACCCCGCCCCCTAATCATTGAGTTCCCACATACATACTAACCAATATGCCACCTGTGCCTACATACAAGATCATGGATTGCCCCACACATTACATCACGCCATGCATGCCGGAGTGAGAGCAATCCTTCTCCATCCATGATTCAGGGTCACCTCTACACTGAGGACCTGGAAAGGCTTTTATAGCGCCCCCAGGGGCCATTTCTGAGGACAAAGTTTGTCATGGTTTCATCATCACACCATTGTAGGGCTGGGCGTGTTGGGTATCTAGTTACTCAGCACAACCTCCTTTGTTTCCTGTTTTTGGGTAAAATATTACATTTGTTCACTAGATGACAGTAATTCCTATAAAACGTTGTGCCATCTAATGGCGGAATGCACATTTTCAGGTGTAAATGAATGGTTGGTTTATTATTGCTGCTTGGATGACCTTCCATCCTTCAGTGTGTTCTGTACTCACAAGTGATGAGGATGACCTCAGTGATGGAGATGAATCCATGCCTGATGAAGGGAACTAAGGGCTCTACTTATAGACCATTCATTGGACGGAAGAGACAAGTGTCCACCCAGACATGACAAATTCTGGACCTATGTGATTTAACACAGTGATTTCCTTTGATTGTCGGCTCCATCTAGTGGTCATAATGCAGTATTTTCCTGAAATACCTCCATCAGTAAAAGTCGCAGAATATGAAATGATGGTCCCTATTTGGAGCCAATGATCACATGAAATAAAATGTGGCAAAAGATGTCACAGCTGGGAGAATGCCGGTCACATTTATTAAACTTTTATTTAATAGATCTATAAGTGTTTGTGAAATCTCCCACCACAAAATGTACTCAGCCAATCACAGGGCAGGACTCCATTTTTATTCTTCTCCTGCCATCAATGGCCGACCCGGTCCCACACTTCATCCATGTCTTTGGGGACCTCTGATCTCCTTATGAACTGTTTCTTCCATGATGAAGATCAGCCATGGAGTATATCTGGGGTGTATATCAGGGTGTGCTTCTTCCCCACATGAGAGCTGGGATGTCCAGCAACATTCATCTAGAAGACATTTCCCGCACTCAAGGCACTAATACACCTCCAGGGTTGTGTGGGACTCCTGATGTACAGGAGGACAGGACTTCAGTGAGGAACATTTCCATCACTGACGACAAGAAAGTGGTTTCTTCCCCGTGTGAGATCTCTGATGTCTGGAACGACTAGACTTGTCTGAAAAACATTTCCTGCACTCGGGACAGGAATACAGCTTCTCCTCCATGTGAGATCTCTGATGTTTGTAAAGATGGGCCTTCTGTGAAAAACATTTCCCACACTCAGGACAAGAATACGGCCTCTCCCCTGTGTGAGATCGCTGATGTCTGGAACGACTAGACTTGTCTGAAAAAACATTTCCTGCACTCGGGACAGGAATACGGCTTCTCCTCCATGTGAGATCTTTGATGTGTGTAAAGAATGGACTTCTGTGAAAAACATTTCCCCACTCGGGACAAGAATATGGCCTCTCCCCCGTGTGAGATCTCTGATGTGTTTCAAGTTTTGATTTCTGTATAAAACTTTTCCCACACTCAGAACAGGAATAAGGCTTCTCCCCTGTGTGAGATCTCTGATGTTTATGAAGACTGGACTTGTCTGAAAAACAGTTCTTGCACTCAGGACAAGAATAAGGCTTCTCCCCCCGTGTGACATCTCTGATGGCTGGAAATATGGGACTTCTGTGAAAAACATTTCCCGCACTCAGGACAGGAATACGGCTTCTCCCCTGTGTGAGATCTCTGATGTTTGGTGAAGATCGGACTTCTCTGAAAAACATTTCTCACACTCAGGACAGGAATACGGCTTCTCCCCCGTGTGAGTTTCTCTGATGTCTGTAAAAATTGGACTTCAGTGAAAAACATTTCCCGCACTCAGGACAGGAATACGGCTTCTCCCCTGTGTGAGATCTCTGATGTTTGTGAAGACTGGACTTCTGTGAAAAACATTTCTTGCACTCAGGACAGGAATACGGCTTCTCCCCGTGTGAGTTCTCTGATGTATGTAAAGATCGAACTTCTGTGAAAAACATTTCCCGCACTCAGGACATGAATATGACTTCTCCCCTGTGTGAGATCTTTGATGTATGTAAAGAGTGGACTTGACTGAAAAGCATTTCCCGCACACAGTACAAGAATATGGCATCTCCCCCGTGTGAGTTCTTTTATGCACATTAAGTTTGGATTTACAATGGTAACATTTCCCGCACTCAGGACAGGAATACGGCTTTTCTCCCCGTGTGAGATCTTTGATGCCTATTAAGATAGGATTTATAACGGAAACATTTCCCGCACTCAGTACAGGAGAAGCTCTTCCCTGTTGGAAGGCCGGCCCGGTCCCGCACAGTCTGAGGTTCCTCAGGATACGAGGAATCTGATGGTCCATCTACACTGGGTGGTGCCGGATGGACATTGGAGGGGAGCCGGGTTTTCTCCTGGACTATACTGTGTGATGTCCTCATCTTCTACTTTCCAGTCTGGAGACAAAGTGAGACAATCCTCGGAGGTTTTCCTCATCTCCCAGCCATGGACTAAAATACAAAGACAAAGAGGATTACTAGACAGGAGCTGATTGGTTCCCCCAAACCAGGACTCCGCCCACATCAGGCAGCTTGGTCTCTGAGGAGCTTACAATTCCACACTCAAGGGAACTAGGAAATAGCTCCTCTGATCTCCTACCAGGTCATTTCTTTATTCATGGACCTTAGTCAGAGTGTGAGGAAACAACCAGAACTGTCTTTTATAGGAGGGACAGTGATGAGGGGATTATAGGACGAGGGTCCCACCCCCTCTATCACTCATCGCCATCTTCCCAACACAAGAAGTACTGCACTTCCTTATTTAGTCCATGATTTAGTCATGAAGAACAGCGGGGCTGAGCCCCACCAGAGGTCAGAGAGTGAGGATGGGGGGAGAACAACCAAGATGAAGACTGGACTGATCCTGAAGACCACCATCATGGGGGTATTGACTCCTCCCTCATTATCACTTTCTGTTTAAGGGTCCAAAGTTGGAGGATGTTATCACATTATTATCACCATGTAAAAGTCTGTGCTCCAATCACATCATCCAATATAAAATGTCCAGCTGTAAGGAAATAGGTGTAAACAAAAGAGAAGCAGTGGGGGGAGGGGGGGAGGAGCAAAAGTCAGGACTATGTAATGTACAACATAGAGTATATAGTGCAGGGGTCAGGAGTATGTAATGTACAACATAGAGTATATAGTGCAGGGGGTCAGGAGTATGTAATGTACAACATGGAGTATATAGTGCAGGGGTCAGGAGTATGTAATGTACAACATGGAGTATATAGTGCAGGGGTCAGGAGTATGTAATGTGCAATATAAATTATACAGTGTAAGGGTCAGGACTCATAATATTGGTATTCAGTAATCAGTGGAAGATTAAAATGTTTACTGTGGACAAGTTGCAGAGATCCCACACCGCTGCCCTCCCATCTCCTGAGACTGCACTCAGTGACTTGGGTCTAAGACTATTATTATTATACAGTATTTATAAAGCGCCAATAGTTCGCTCAGCGCTGTACATTACAAAGGGGGACAGAACATGTGACAGAACAATACCAATACAATGAAAAACATGAGGAGATCGAGGGCCCTGCTCCTTGGAGCTTACAATCTAGGAGGGAGGATATGGTGGCACAGGAGAGATAGCTGTGGGGGATGGAGTGGTAGGAAGAGTGGAGGAGGTCGGCAAGTTAGCAGGGGGTGGGGTAGGCTTCCCTGAAGAGGTGGGTTTCAGGGTGCGTCTAAAGGAGAGGAGAGTAGGTGATAATCTGATGGGTTGGGGCAGGGAGTTCCAGAGGATGGGTGACACCCTGGAGAAGTCCTGGAGGCGGGCATGGGAGGAGGAGACCAGGGAACTAGAGAGAAGGAGGTCTGTGAGGACGCGAGTGTGCGTGTTGGGCGGTACTTGGATATTAGGTCAGTGATGTAGTTCGGGGCAGTATGGTGGACGGCTTTGTACGTCAGTGTTAGGATTTTGATCCGTTTGCGCAATCGGAAGCCAGTGGAGGGATTGGCAGAGGGGGGTTAGAGGTCAGTGGAGGGATTGGAAAGTTGAATGAGTCTGGCAGCCGTATTCAGGATGGACTGAAGCGGGGATAGCCAGCGGCGAGGCAGGCCAGTGAGGAGGGAGTTGCAGTAGTCGAGTCGTGATATGATGAGGGAGTGGATGAGCTGTTTAGTGTTTCTGGGGTTAGGAACGTGCGGATTTTGGCGATGTTGCGGAGCTGGAGTCTGCATGTTGCGGAGGTGGAGTCTGCATGTTGCGGAGGTGGAGTCGGCACGAGTTTGTTAAAGATTGGACTTGGGGCTGGAAGGATAGGTTGGAGTCCAGAATGACCACCAAGTACTCTGGCCTGCGGGGCGGGTTTGATGGTGGCGTTGTTGGATGTGATGGAAAAGTCAATGGGGGGTGGGGGTCCGGGCTGGGGGGGGAAGACAAGAAACTCGGTTTTGGAGAGGTTCAGTTTAAGGAAGTGGAGCGACATCCAGTCTGATTTGTCGCTCAGTAGGTGTGTGATTCGGGCGGGAGACTGAGGGGGTGAGGTGGGGGGTTGAGAGATAGATTTGTGTGTCGTCGGCATAGAGGTGGTAGTTGAAGCCGTGAGAGTGTATGAGTTGGCCAAGGGAGGAGGTGTAGATGGAGAAGAGAAGGGGCCCAAGGACAGAGCCTTGAGGGACCCCTAACAGAGAGGGGGAGTGAGGGGGAGGTGGTAGCATTATAGGTAACACTGAAAGAGCGTTGTGACAGGTAGGATGAGAGTCAGGAGAGAGCAGAATCTCTGAGGCCGAGGGGTTTAGTTTTTTGAGGAGGAGGGGGTGGTCGACTGTGTCGAAGGCCGCAGAGAGGTCAAGGAGTAGGAGCACTTAATAGTGGCCATTAGCTTTGGCAGTTAGAAGGTCGTTGGAGAGTTTGAGTAAGGCACGTTTCGGTGGAGTGTAGGGGACGGAAGCCGGACTGTAGGGGATCGAGAAAGTTTTGTCATTGAGGTGAGAGCTTAGGCGGGTGTAGACGAGGCGCTCGAGGAGTTTGGGTGTAAATGGGAGCAGGGAGATGGGTCTGAGGTTGTTCGGGTCATTGGAGTCAAGGGAGGGCTTTTTAAGTATGGGGGTGATGGAGAGATTGAAGATGTGGGTGAGGGAGCGTAGGATGGAGGGGGAGGAGAGGTCATAGGAGTTGTGATGGGATAGGGTCGAGGGGCAGGTGGTGAGCCGGGCATCAGAGTGGGATCTTGGAGAGACTTCCTCGATGGTTGTAAGGTCAAAGGTGTGAAGTGTTGGGGGAGCTTCAGTAGGAGGAATGTAGGGTGAGGTGGAAGTGGAGGTCAGAGCAGTGGTGGGGCCGTGGGAGAGGGGTGATGAGGGCGTAGCTGAGTGAGGGGAACGGGTTGGAGGAAGTTTGAGCAGCGACAAAGTCCCAGTGGGTTATGTTGAGGGGGAGGGGGGGATGAGGGGGTAGCTGTGTGAGAGGGGACAGGTTGAGGGGGCGTATGAGTTGAGGCGATGTCCTTGCGAATTGTGTCAATCTTGTTTTTGAAGTGATTGGCAATCTCAAGGGCGGTGAGTGAGGTGCTGGGTGGAGGTGGGGGTGGAGAGAGTAGAGAGTTGAAGGTGGAGAAGAGTCGGCGAGGATTGGAGGAGAGGGCCTTGATGAGGGTCAGGAAGTAGGCTTGTTTGGCAGCATGGAGGGAGGAGGTGTAGGTGTGGAAGGCAGATTTGTAGCAGGTGAAGGCTTTTTGGGATTTGGTTTTGCGCCATAGTCGCTCCAGGGCACGACTGTGTCGTTTGAGGGTTTTGGTGTGATCAGTCTTCCAGAGCTGGAGCGGTCGGGGTCTGATGTTGCGTGCGGTTAAAGGCGCTAGTGAGTCAAGGGCTGTTGACAGCGCGTTGTTGTAGACAGTCATAGCCAAGTCGGGGCAGGACAGGGGGAGGATGCGGTCATGGAGTTGATCAGCTGCAGAGTGGAGGGAGGCAGGATTAAGGTTGCGGAGGTTACGGCTGGTAGTAGTGTGACATTTGGAGGGGTAGGCGTTGGAGGACGAGGAGATAGAGAAGGTAATCAGGTTGTGGTCAGAGAGAGGGAAGGGGGTGTGTTAGTGAGGTTGTGGGGAGCGCAGCGGTTGGAGAAGACAAGATCAAGGATATTACCGTCGGAGTGGGTGGTGGATTGTATGCACTGTGCAAGTGTAAAGGAGGAGGTTAAGTGGAGGAGATGGAATGTGTCCGGGTTGTCGAGGTTGACAGGGATGTTGAAATCCCCAAGGATGATGGTGGGTAACTCAGAGGAGAAGAAGAAGGGTAGCCAGGAGGAGAAGTCATCCAGGAAGCGGGATATGGATCCAGGAGGCCGGTATATCACAGCAATCTTCAGGGAGGTTGGGGAGAATAGTCGGACGCAGTGGACCTCGAAGGAGGAGAAGGATAGAGAGGGGGGGTTTGGGAGGACTCGGAAGATGCTCTGCGGTGACAGGAGCAGACCAACCCCACCACCTTTACGACCGTCAGGTCTGGGTGAGTGGGTCCAGGTGAGACCTCCGTAGGAGAGTGCAGCAGGGGAGGTAGAGTCAGTGGCCTGGATCCAGGTTTCTGTGATCGCTAGGAGGTTGAGGGAGCGGGAAACAAAGAGGTCATGGATGGCGGTAAGCTTGTTGCACACCGATCGGGCGTTCAGGAGTGCACATGAAAACGGGGGGGAGATTTTAGGGAGCAGGGGGACAGATACTAAGTTGCGGGGGTTGCGGCAGGACGTGGAGGGGGGAGGGTGTTGTGTGGGTGAGGGAGGTGGTGGAGGGCCAGGATTCGGGTAGATGACTATACAGACATATCCCTCCACCCGGCACAGCCAGCATACTACAGAGCAAGGAACCCTGGGAAATGTACTGTCAGAGATCTTACTGACCCAGACATGGGACAGAAGACCCAAGACACACACCCCCCAGGTGCCTAGGTCTAGTAACGTCTATGGTGAAAATCAACATTTTGCTGCCAGCTGAACCCCAGAATCTCCATAAATCCAGTCTAGATACATAAATTGTGTCTGCAGCACAGAGAAGGAAGATTATCCGAGAGAAATCCAGGAATACAGGACGGGGAACACAGCTCAGGAAAGTGACCAGGGGATTACAGGCTGATATCACCCAGTCCCCCGCCCTACTCTGGACAAATCAGTGAGCAGTATGGGTGGAGGAATGGATTTAGTGTTCATGACCC